TTAATTGGGATCCACTTAACCACGTATCGTTCAATAGCTAATTGTCATTAACAGTAATTGACATATAGGATAAATAGTTGACAGAATTATAATAAAAGGTTTGAATTAATAAATTTTTAAAAATAAAAAAAATAACTAAATTAAAAAAATAAAAAATTTTAATTAAAAAAAATTCAAAGTGTCGGGGGTACGAATATGGGATTCACAGTTCGATTAATTTTATTAAGACACATGCTTTTAAAAATCAACCCTATTAAGCCACTTGACTTGTTTAAACAGGTGTCATGTTAACTTGATTTAATTAATATAAGTACATACGTAATTTTATAATAAAACAAATCAACAAATGATAAATTTTATATATAAATTTAGTGCGCATAATAAGTGCAATCATCCAATATACAAAGTAAGCATTATCTGTGGTTGATTTTTATTTTCTTATTCCTTTAGAGTTTCCTCCAAAAAAAAAAATAAAATAAAATAAAAAACTCAGTGACATTATTAGGACAGCCAGATGATGGAGTCGAGTTAACAAAGCAAACGAATTTTCCTTGGCCATTATTAATTGACTTAAAAAACAAAGACTTTTTCCTTTTTAATTTTTTCGTTATCAATGATTTGTTCAAACTTCGAAAAGGGTTTATCCAGTGCATGCATCAACATGCAATATCTATTTGAAGAAAATAAGCTTCAGGACCTGACCCAGTAAACAGTATCAATGTTTAATTTTGTAAGGAAACATCTTGCCCAGTTCCCGGAAAAAGAAATCCAGTTGAAAAAACATACGAAGTTGACGAAAGGTTAACTAATAAAGTACCAAGACTTGATCAACTTGATATATGATTCTTGCTAGAGTTGCTGAAGTGCTGTAAAAGTAGTTGGGTTTGAATGGTCAAATAATTTCATATGCATCTGTACCACTATTACGAAATTGTTTACTGGTTCTCGTTTACTAACTCAATTGGTGGGATATTAATATATTATTCTTTTGATTGTGATTAAAAATAATAACAATATTTTTTTACCTAGTGGTGAGTAAATTTGAAATCTGTCGAGCGCCATGACTAAGTCATGCAGCAGATCGGGTAATGTTGGTTCTGGAAAGTACGAATTCACATAGAGCTGCACATGTTCTAATCATTGAAGGGGTCGGATTCAATATTCAGTTATTGTATGTCAAAATTAAATTATTATCAATTTGAATCTTAAGTATGTAATTCATTTATGCATATATAGATTGGTACGCGTATAAGGGAAAGTTGTGTTCGATTAATTTAAGAACATACCTACGTTAGAAAAAACGTGTCACTCATTAATTTCTCCGAAACATAATTGACTACTAATTTGGTTACGTTGAAATTTTGCATTTTCAAATTTTATATTACTCATTGTTAGTTGTTATTGGGTTTTTTCAATTCTAAAAACTAGTTTAAAAATAATTTTTTTCCTCACACTTGTAACCAAACACTTAACTCTTTTCATAACTCGACGTGGAATAACACAATAATCTCTCTCTTAATACATCTGATTTTAAGTTGTTTATTTCTCATCAACTTGTCCGATGCTTACAGATAAAAAATTATTTAACTTAAGCTATGTTATCGAGTTGGATGTTATCGATTTTTTCAACTCCAAAAATATCTTAAGGAATGAGATTTTGTCTCACATGTATAACCAAACACTCAATTTTTTCCACAATTGATATGAGATAACACAATAATATACAAGTGTTAGGTGTTATTAGATCTTCTCAACTCAAAAAACTAGTTTAAAGAGCTAGTGAAGCTTTCCATCACATTTATAATCAAGCACCCAACCCTTTTCACAATCAATGTGAAATGACACAATAGTCTTTCCTTTCACACACTAGATCCTAAGTTAAATAATTCTCTATGTATCGATGCCATATAAGTTGATGAGAAATGCATGTATGAAGTGAGAAATCATTGTATTGTCCCACATTAATTCTAAAAATGACCGGTATTTATATTACTCATCGTTAGATGTTATTGGGTTTTTTCAATTCTAAAAACTAATTTAAAAATGAGTTTTTTCCTCACACTTATAATCAAACACTTAACTCTTTTCATAATTGACGTGAGATAACGTAATAATCTCTCTCTTAATACATCCGATTTTAAGTTGTTTATTTCTCATCAACTTGTCCGTTGCTTATAGATAAAAAATTGTTTAACTTAAGCTATGTTATCGTTGTTGGATATTATTAGATTTTTTCAACTCCAAAAACTATCCTAAGGAATGAGATTTTGTCTCACATGTATAACCAAACACTCAATTCCTTTCATAATTGATATGAGATAACACAATAATATACAAGTGTTAGGTGTTATTAGATCTTCTCAACTCCCAAAACTAGTTTAAAGAGCTAGTGAAGCTTTTCATCACACTTATAATCAAGCACCCAATCCTTTTCACAATCAATGTGAAATGACACAATAGTCTTTCCTTTCACACATTAGATCTGAAGTTAAATAATTCTCTATGCATCGATGCCACACAAGTTGATAAGAAATGCATGTATGAAGTGAGAAATCATTATATTGTCCCACATTTATTATAAAAATGACTGTTATTTAGTTATAAATTAATATTAAAAAAAAATTCTTGAGTTAACTTTGGAATTGAAAATATCCAATAGCTCCCAACCCTCGTTTACTTCTAAATCCCCATTTCAAGAAGAAAGAAACATTTAAAGATAAAATAGAATATCACCTGCAATTAGTCTTATCAAAATTATTTCAGTACTTTCATATATCTAACCTCATAAAATTTATTTCTTTTTTTCTCCCCTTTATATCTATATCTTTTTCTTTTATAAAATAATTATTGATACCTACTCTAAACTAATATAAAATTTCTTGGAGTTATTTAATAGTTTATGAGCTTTGCTTTTTGTTTGGTTACCATTATCTGTATTCATTCTGATCATGAGAAACAAAAAAGTTTTATGTTATTTAGACTCCAATATGAATATTTTGCTAGGTTTCTTAATTGGGAGATAAATTTATTATTTTTTAAAAAATTGTTATGAACGTATTTTTTTTTACATTTTCAGTAATCCAATAGGGGAGGGAACATGAAAAATGATGGGGAAACCATTACTAGTAAAACTTTAAAAATAAATGATAACTTAAAACTAGTTTAAGGAAAATAGTCAAAGAATTAATTAAAAGTAACAAAGCAAACGATTTGCAGGATCTAAAAAGAAGACAGGTGACCCTGAAGAAGCAAGCCGAGTAGCCTTCCTTTCAAGGCAGGCGGAAATATCTCAGCAATTGCTTTGGTGTTTATTTAGTCAAACTCCTTTGTCTATGTCTTTAAGTCAATTCAAAATATTGATTCGAACGAAGACGTAGATTTCTTTGTAAAGGAAATATCTTTGCAACTTCTCTTCATCTTGTCGTTTGTTAATGCTCTAAGCAAGCAATGGAAAGGCCAAAAAAAAAAAAAAAAAAAACGTTTCTCCCAAAGTCTTATATCGAGGTAGGTCTGTTGGCGGCTCTTGCAGGTCGCAAGTTTGCAATACAAGTCGCTTTCGTAAGTATAGTTCCAGTGCCTAAACTCTTGGCATGATAACACTTTAGTCCTTATGGGAAAAAAAATTAACTAAATCCTAAAAGCTTTAATGATTTCGAGCACCCTCTTTTTTTCTTTCTTTTTTTTTAAAAAAAAGAATAATTGTATCAAAAGTATATGACATAAAATGTTAAATCTCAATTTATTTCCGATATGCACTAATAGAATTAGAGCAATTGGTTACATGAAATCAATGATGAATAAAGAAATTAAGTTACAAGAATATATATTTTTTAACTACATTCTTTTGTTTGTTATAAAAAATAAATATATTTGATAATAAGCTCTCTCGCTCTGTTATCAAGAAATCTAAAATATATTGAACTACACAATTAAAAATAACTTTTCTAAATTAAACTATTGATATTAAAACTTGCTTCAATAAATAAACTATAGAGTACACCACCATTGAAACATAACATATTGTTAAAAATAACTTTTCTAAATTAAAACTCGCTTCAATAAATAAACTATAGAATAGACCATCATTAAAGCATAACATATTGTTAATTCTCAAAAAAAAGTTATTCAATCAGATGCTATGAATGAGAGTGCATTAAAGAGATAGTAGACTTTTTTCCCCTTTTACGGTCAAAGAAAACTAGAAATAGTGACATCTCATTTGAAAAAAATACAAATATAATCAACATCAAAACAGTTGAGTATACTTTAATTTGTTTTGAAAAGACTACAAATATAATCAACATCAAAACAGTTGAGTATACTTTAATTTGTTCTTTTTTCGTTTTTCTTATGATATCTCATCCCTTATATGTTTTATAATATATATAAACGTATCGTTAATTTTTAATACACCAATGCATGTTACTAGATAAGCTAATAATATTTTATCAAAAAAAGAAAAGCTAATAATATATATGATAAAAAAAAAAACCAGGTAAGCTAATCAAATAGCTTCAAGATCGATCTGGGGTTTGGATCCATTCGTCAGAGAAATTTTCCAATACACTAAATCTAATTGTGGATAGGCGTGTAGCATAAAAAATTTGGGTAATTCGGTTTTTTTCCCTACCCACCGCCCAATTTGTGAAACTAAGTTTTGGAATGTTTTATAATATTTCTTTGATTTAATTTTTTTTTTCACTCGAAAATGAATATATGTATATAGGCATGTAGAAGTAAGCTCAAGATTTTATTATAAATTCAACATAAAAAAGCAAGCCTGCAGCACTCATTTGTTAAGTAATTTATTTGCATGATAATTCAAATCCCATAGCTGAGAAAGCATAGAAAAGGATAGATACATTGGCAGAGTAATGCAGAATTGTTTGTCACCCACAAACAAGTTAAGGCCTTACATGTGGGTAGATGAAGTTTTTGGCCACGGCCCATAGATTGCTATGGGGATTCGGCCATTGTGTTTGATCCTGATTGAAACAAGACTAACTTGCCCAAATAGAAACGAGCCTCAATACGGCAATGGCAAATCCATATTCCTGGATTATCAGTTTGAAACCTCTGAAAGCAGTCGATCCATAAGGAAAAAGTGGCACCGTGTTCTTCCTGATTGGATTATCCAAGTTGAAGGTACCAACATCTTTTTCATTGAACTGACCCTCTCCAGATCCCAGCACCCAAAAATCATGTCCATGAAGATGCCAAGGATGTGTCTCACTATCATTTGCCGAAGTTTTTGCATTCTGTAGTATAACATCCACTGTTAGTATGGAAACCTACAAATCGATGTACTAATTGTGGCATTTGTACTTTTAGGAATGTCATATGTGTTATAGTCATGGTCATAGTTTTCTAGGGCAGGGGTTGGATCAAAACCACCAGATATATCTAACTTGAGTGCAAGAAGGTAGGGTGTATCAGGAAGGGCGTGTGACTGATAGATTGAGAAAGAAATGGGTCTACTTCTTCTCATTTCATTAAAAACTGAAAATTATAAATTGAGTTTACAAATTGTTTCTCACCCTTTTATACCATAGAGGAGAAGCCAAGATTAAATTGTCTACTAACTACTACTACTCTTAACAAATATAACTAATAAAATTAACGATCTTTCTAACTAACTAAACCGACTAATTAACTAAACAAATAATTAATTTGTATATGTTAGCAGAAGAAGCCATATAAGCAAAAAGGCATCTGGCTTCTAATATCGCCCCTAAAGTGGAGCATGGATATTAATTATGCTCATCTTGCTTAGAAAAAACTAGAAATGTGTAAGCTATCGGGGCTCGATGAAGAAATCAGCAAGCTGAAAATCGAAGGCAAATATTTAGGTTTTCCTATCCCAAGCAAGCACCTTCTCTCTAATAAAATGACAATCCATCTCAATGTGTTTTGTCGTCTCATGAAAAAATAGGTTTTTATTTATGTGAATAGCATATTCATTATCATATTTAAGCAAAACTTCAATTTTATGCTCAAACCTCAAATCCGCCAATAATGACAACAATCAAACAATTTCACTCGTACTTATAGCTAATAAGAGAATGCATTAGAAAAATACAATAACTCGCAATTAATCTTCTCAAATCATTATAACTTGTCCAATCATTGTTTGTGTAAGCTCGGAATTGAATATCGAATGAGAAGAAAATAACGGACCTTGTCTAGGCGATGTCTTTAGGTATTTCAACACCCTAAAAGCTATTTGCAAATGAACTTTAGCTGGTTTATTCATAAACCGAGACAACACTTAAGGAGCATAGGATATATCATGTCTAGTAAAGGTGAGATACTTGGTTCGTCAAGAAATAATTGAGTTTGTACGGAATTTATTTATAAGCTATCTATAAATAATTGGTTCGTCAAGAAAATCAAACCGAGCTTGTACAAGTTTATTGTTTGGATCCATTAGAGTAGAAAATCGTTTAACACCTAACATTTCATGCTCTATTAGTAGACCAAGAATATATTTCCTCCGACATAAAGAAATTCCTTTCGAAGATCTTGCAACTTCAATGCCAAGGAAAAATTTCAACTCGTCATAAATCTTTCATCCGAAACCGAAAGTGTAAGTACCTCTTAAAGTTATCAATAGTTTTAGTAGAATTACTTGCAATTACTATATCATCAAAATAAACACGTAAAGTAAGAAAAATATTACGAGATATTCTTTTGGTAAGCAAAGAATAATCTGTTTTAGATTGTGAAAACCTAAAAGCTAATAAAGCAAGAATAAGCTAGTGATTCCACTTTATTGATACCTACTTCAAACCATACAAGGACTTGTGAAGTTTGCAAACTAGCCTAAGTATGTGTGGGATACTCCCTTAGACCGGATAACCGGGAGGAAGGTCTATATAAATTGTCTCCTCTAAGTCACCATTAAGAAACGCATTGTTCACATCCATTTGAGACAAATACCAACCTTGAGTTGCTGCAATAGCTAAAAATAAACAAACTATAGTCTCGTTTAACCACAGGACTAAAAGTTTCTTGAAAATCATAACTTTTTTGTTGATTATAGCCCTTTGCTATCAATCGAACTTTATATCTTTTAATAGAGCAATCAACATGAAGTTTAATCTTATAAACTCATTTGCAACCTACCGTATGCTCGATAAGAAGGAAGAGAAACCATTGTCCAAGTATGATTGTGCTTAAATGCAGCAAGCTCTGCTTTCATGGCATCTTGCTAGTGAATAGAATACAGAACCTAATAATATGGATGAGGCTTAGCAAGGTGGGAAGAGAAGAAACAAAAGAAGTATGTGAGGGTGACAAAAGAGAAGTAAAAACATAGTCTTGAATGGGGTATGTTATAGAATGACATATAGATATATTAGTAGAATGCAAGCTTATTTGATAATTAACTAAGTAACTAGAAGGTTTGCTAACACGACTACTTTTCCTAAAGGAATAAGAAGAGTAAAATGACTTGAAGAAGAAGAAATGTCTATAGATAAAGAAGGAGAGGAATCCGTAAAGGTTTGTTTTATATCTAGAATAGAAGGAGAGTCCCGAAGATGAATGGCTACAAGAGTAACATTATATGTTTCAACAATTAGACTAGAATTCTCGGACGATGATTGAGAAATTATATTAGGAATAGCAAAAAAAATATCATAAGAAAAGACATTAGGAATATGATGTAGGGTATTAGAATAAGAGAAAGGGAAAACATTTTCATGGAATGTAACATCTTTAGAAACAAAGATAGTTTTAGAATTTATATCATAAAGCTTGTACGCTTTAGTTCCAATAGGATAACCAATGAATACACATTGTCTAACTCAAGAATCCAATTTCTTTCTATTATGAGAAAGAGTAGAAAAAAAACTACCAAATAATCTCAAGTGAAGATAAGAAGGTGGATTATGAAATAATAATTTGTATATAGCTTTTTTATTTAGAAAAGGAGTTGGAATCCTATTTATTAAGTATGCTATAGTTAAAATTGCATCTCTTTAGAAACTGATCGGTAAACAAGACTCGGAATAACAAAGCTTTAGCAATGATAAAAAGATGTTGATGTTTCCTCTCAATAACACCATTTTGTTAAGGTGTACCTACACATGAGAGTTAATGGACTATACCTTTAATAGAAAAGAAATCAATGAGATTGAATTCTAAACCATTGCTTGATCCGATTTGTTTGATGAAAAAACTAAATTGATTTTGAACAAGATTGAAGAAACTAGGAATGATAAATGTAAAATCTGGTTTTGATTTTAATAAAAATAACCATGTCATTCTGGTGAAACCATCCATTATAGTGATAAAATAGTGATATTTTCCATGAGCTAGTTATAAATAAGGTTTTCATATATCAACATGAATGAGTTGAAAAGGAGTATAAGTGTTGAAAGAATGAATAGGAAAGGAAATTCTTTTGTATTTAGCCATTGGAAATACGATATAAGGGTTTTTATTAAAATTTGAATCATAATGTACATCGAACATATTTGATTAATAACATTCATCTTATTTAAAGGTACATGTCTTAATCTAAAATGCTAAAGATTAAAGAAATCATTAACATAGAAAACATAATTGGTGTTGATAGTAGGAACAAAAGAAGATTTAAATTCATGCTTATGAAAGCTAGAGGGAATAGAAGCTTGAGGAGGTATTGAATATTCCAAGTAAATAAAGACCACTGCTAACCTTAGCAAATCCAATCATTATCCATAAAGGAACTCGCTTGAATAAAATAAGAATTACGATAAAATTTAACGGTAATTTGACAAAAAAAGAAGTAAGTTTACTAATAAATATTATATTGAATTTGAAGGAAAGAATGTAGAGAACATTACGCAAGACCAATATAGAAGACAAATGTATTGTGCCAAAATGTGTTGTAGACACTTTGGAACCATCCGGCATTAATACTAGGACATGTTCAATGGATTGACAAACATTAAAAAAATTCAAACAACAAGTAATATAATCGAAGCTCCTATGTCAATGATCTAAGATTTTTCATCCAAAGGACATTTCGGATGTTTTGTGAATTTTATGCAACAATGATGTGAAGACTAAATAAGGTTTTTCATGTCAAAAGAATTTATACCTATCATGCCGGACAAAGTAGAAGAAGGTAAAACGGAAGAAGGTTCAATTAATACATTATGTTCATTGAGAAGAGTTAGTAGTCATTAAACTTGATGCTAAGTCATTAATACTTATGACGATGAATTTACAGACAATATTAACTAAAGATGCATCACTACTTACGAGTAACACAAATAACATCCTTATTCAAGCATTCATATGATCTTGTTGTCACAAAATTAACAATCGATCGATTATTGTTATTCCTTGCAAACTTATTTAGAAATCCAATCGCTTGAAAATAACCTTTACTATAATCGACCTTGCCACAATGAATACAAACAAATGAGTTTCTAGACTTATAATGAAAATTTTCTTTTACTATCATTAACGAGGATTCTAAAAGAGGTTAGAACTATTACCGTATAGTTCTTTATGATTCCTCTCTAACCACTAGATTATACACTTCATAAAGAGAAGGAAAATGCTTCATCATAAGCTTATGAGACCTCAATCTAGCATAAAAATCATTCAAGCTATTCAAAAAAATGAAACACATAATCCATTGGTTGTTAATCGATGAATTTTTTGAAGTATTTTGAGTTACACTCATAATGAGGTAATTGCTTAAAACTTCTCAATTCCTCCCAAACAGAATTTAAATTAGTAAAAACTTTATCAACATTTTGACTACCTTAATTGATGACACACAAAACATGTTATAAATTACAGATTTTAGAATCATTTACCTAAGAAAAATGATTCTTAAATACTTTTCGGATGTCTACGACTAAATCTATGTAGAAGATAATGACGAGTAATTAGAGAATAAACTAAATGAAGAAGCCAAGAAATAATGAGGTTATTACATCACAACCATGGATCATACATTACATTTTTCATAGCTAGTGTTGTAATTATTCCATCAACAAAACCTATTTTATTACAAATTGAAAATGTGAGTAGAAACAAACGACTCTAGGATGCATAATTGCTAGAAGTTAGCTTAGGAGAAACAAACACATTGGTGTGATTATGTGATAAAGATGGAAAGGAGATTGTGGATTTTTTATTGAAAAATTAAAAACATAATCCGTCATTGATGAACTTCGGGAACAAGAACTTTCATGAAGAAAACCTAATTGTTAAGCTCGATACCATACTAGATTGAGAGAGAAATGGGTCTACTTCTTTTCATTTCATCAAAAACTCGAAAATTACAAATTGAGTTTACAAATTATTTTTCACCCTTTTATATTATAGAGAAGAAACCAAGATTAAATTATCTACTAACTATCGTTACTCTTAACAAGTATAGCTAATAAAGTTAACAACCTTTCTAACTAACTAAATTAACTAATTAACTAGACAAATAATTAGTTTATACATGTTAATAGAAGAATCCATATAAGCAAAAAA